GGGGACTGGAACACCTCCTGTATGAAGACAGGCTGAGCAAGTTGGGGCTGTTCAGCCTGGAGAAGGGAAGCTGCATGGAGACCTCAGAGCAGCCTTCCAGTATCTGAAGGGGGCTATAAGGATGCTGGGGAGGGACTCTTCATTAGGGACTGTAGTGATAGGACAAGGGATAATGGGTTCAAACTGAAACAGGGGAAGTTTAGATTGGATATAAGAAATTCTTTCCTGTGAGGGTGGTGAGGCACTGGAATGGGTTGCCCAGGGAGGTTGTGAATGCTCCATCCCTGGCAGTGCTCAAGACCAGGTTGGATGAAGCCTTGGGTGACATGGTTTAGTGTGAGGTGTCCCTGCCCATGGCAGGGGGGCTGGAACTGGGTGATCTTAAGGTCCTTTCCAACCCTAACTATTCTATGATTCAATGTCTCTTACAAGCCCAAATTATTCTCTTCCTAAGCCATCAATATTAAATATTTAATGATGAAACCCATCCAATGATGGTGACCCATCCAGCTGAGCTCTCTCCAAGATGGCCAGGAAGATAGAAGGTTTTAGAAGATAAGGTCTAATGAAGATTTTTGGAAGCATCCCGAAGAAGTAGAAGCTATCTGCATGGCAGAGCTCAGCAAGAAGTACCAGGGCAGGGCCATTTTTCTCTGTGCTACTTAGAAATTACTTTTACATTTCCACTGGCCCTAAATAAAGCAGAAGAAAAAAAGGCAGTGTGTTTACAAAGCCCAAACCGAACTCAGAACACAAAATATTTTCATTTTGGCCTAAACAAAACCAGGGGGCTGAGGCAATAACTTCTGGGTTTCTTAGTCAATAACTAAAAAACTGTTTCTTTGTGTGATGAACACTGCATGGGAGCTGTTCATCTTCAGCAGGGACGGAAAAGCCACTGTGGCTTGAGAGCTGCTCAGTGCCTTTGTGGAAGTGAAGCAATGCAAAACCCCACTCAAGACCCACAAAAACCCCACTCAGGACTGCCCCTGCCCACACCCTGGCATCCACCATGCTCAGCCTTTCCCCACCGAGCCCAGTGCTGCCTGTGGCACAACACATCTGGAGAGTTCCTTCATCCCTCAGCTCCACACAGCATCACAGACTGGTTTGGGTTGGAAGGGACCTTCAGAGCTCATCCAGTCCAACCCACCTGCAATGAGCAGAGACATCTGCCACTAGATCTGCTTGCTCAAGAACCTGTCACATCCCTCCTGGGGACCCTGAGCAGTAAATGCAGATAAATCTTTTGCCATGCATGTGTGTGCAGCAGCACAAAGGGGGAAACTACCCACGCTTTGGGGCACGCTCTCAGTACAGTGTGGCCAGATTTCTGCTTCCCTTGCCCACCTCCTTTGCAGATCTACCCAAATTGCCCACCCTGTGATGCTGGCACCTGGTTTAGGTGTCTGCTGGGACCACAGCGGGGTCACTTGTGACAGCCTCCTCACAGGCAGGTCCTGACCAGCGCCAGTCCCTCCTTGGTGGCTCGGTGGCTGGAAGCCACCCCAGGGCGCAGGGGTGGAGGGGCACGGACTAGGACATTCTGCGTGCACTGGGCTGTCACTGCTGTGCCTCAGCGCTGCCCTGCGGGGCCCCATCCACAGGACACAGAGATGCGGCCTTGGCCACGACCCTTGCCTGGGGGTGGCTGCAGGATGCCCCTGTGCGGGCAGAGCAGATCTGAGCAGAAGGCCCTGCTGCTGCCAGCTTCCTGATGGGAAGTTTTGATGTTTTCATTTTTTTCTCTCAAGGAAAGGGGCCAGGGGACATCCCGACAGGTGCCACATCCCTGCCTGGTGCTTCCTTGGGCAGGTAGAGACCCCCCAGACCTCTTTCAGAAATCAAACCTGCCTGCCTGGGCCTGCGAGGCGTGGAAACAGATGGAGAAGTGCCCTGCTGCTGCAACTGTGCAGGCACAGAGCAGCCCGGGCTGCTGCCCTGGGGACCTGCCGCTCCGTGTGCCCGTGCCTACAGCTGTGAAACTGAGGCAGAGAAGTCAAACAGTGTCATCGTGTGGAGGGTTCTGATCACTCCCCGGGCCATGGCTGCAGCCCAGCTTCCAGCAGGCCCCGTCCATGCAGCCATTTCTGCCCCTTCGGCTGCCTGTCCCTGTCCCTGCCCCTGTCCCTGCCCGGGGCCGTGCTGGCCTGGGCACGCCCGGCATGGCCCCATCTCTCCGGAAGAGCGAGCAGAGCTGAGGGCAGGGCAGGAGGGGGCCGCCTCCACAGGGTCTGCACCCCACTAAGTGTCAACAAGGGGACCCTTTGTGCCTACAGGCGAGCGCGGTCCCGCCAGGCCAGGACCCCAGCCCCTGCTCTGGTGCGCAGCAGCCGCCCCTCTGTGGGTGACAGACCGGGGGGTGACGGCAGCTGCCTCCCGGTGCGATGGGAGCGCGGCCCCAGGCTCCGGCCCGCAGCTGCGATCCAAGCGGGGATTCCGGGAGCCCCGTCCCGTCGCGCTGGGTCTCCCCGGAGGGAGCTGTTGCCTTCAATGGGCTGTACCGGGGGAGCGGCTGTGCTGCCCGCACTTAACCGGGCTGGGGCTATGGCCTCAGGGAGACCTCAGAGCTGCAGGGAGCTGGCCGGGCGCTGGAGCAGAGCCAGGGTGCTGTGCTCAAGCCACCCATGATGGAGATGTTGAGGGCACCTGGCTCCAGTTATCCCCTGGGAATGAGCTGGGATGGGGCAGCAGAGGCTCACCCACCTTTGCCCCTGCCATATCCCACAGAGCAGAAGGCAAACCCGGTCCATTGCCACCTGGATCTTGGTTCCACCAAGCCTCGGTGGAAAATGAAATTTTTCCATGGCCGCAGCCAGGGCGGAGGAATGGGGAGCATGGAGTCAGGTAATACTGCTAAGGCAGAAGGCAGCTCTATCTCTGCCAAGAGGAGAAAGGCTTTGGCAAGCTGGAATCTGGGATACAAGCAGGGCTGTGGCAACAAGGTAACAGGATGGTCTGGAACAGGAGAACACGAGGGACCAAGGGGATGAGCAAGTGGTATCGGGTGCCAGCTCACAGGTCTGCGATGCACCAGGCACCCCTTCAGCCAAGACAGCCCTGCATGACCCAGGGCTCCCCATCCTGGTGAGGACCAGCCTCAGGACCCAGGGTCTTCTCCAGGTCATCACATCCTCAGTTCATCTCCCAGGGATTTGCATGGGTTAGAGCAGGACAGTGGGTACTCAGGACGTGGGCTGGCAGCCCAGGAGATGCTGCAAACCACCCAGAGCAGCGAGGGCCCATGATGGGCACAGCAGCTCCTGACCACGCAGCACGGAAGAAAAGAAAAAAAACATGAAAGGTTCAGGCTGGGGGCTCCAGATGCAGCTGCTCCTGTTGGCATTTGGGATAATTGTTCTGCTGGGAGAGCAGCCTTTCTCTAAGGGGGTAGCCGGGCACAGAGCCCAGCCTCAAAGGGCGTGAGAAGGGCATGAAGCTGGGCAGGAGGAGTGAATCTACAAATAGACCTGGGGGACTGGATCCTTCCCAAACCACATGGCTGAGGACAAGGATAAGATTCTGGGTGCCAGGCATGTTCCCAGGTTGAGTCCAGGCAAGGGCCAAGGGCACCATGCCCCCAGTAAGAGCCCCCATCACCAGGGTCTGACAGTGGGGACCCCCCGAGCAGCCTCACCCCGGCACCTGTGATGAATGCAGTGACATGAGCGTGGTCTGTGTGGTGTGACCCTGGCCCTGACAAGCTGCAGTGTGGCAGGGCTGAGGCGGATTGGCAGGAGCTGCCCTGGCTGGGGACAGCAGAGCTCTGCCCCAACTGCTCCCAGTGTCACCACAGCTCCACATGGCAGGCACCAGATGTGACCGGAGCCATGGAGGTGCCTTCACAGACCTATGCTAAAGCACTGGAGGGAACAAAGCCTGAAGGGAAGGTGTCACCCACGTCACCCAGTGCATTGCTTACAGACCTGGCCAGGACAGGCACTAAACCAGGTAACTGCCCCCATGGTGCAATGACACTGCAGTGAACACAGCCCAGACACTCAGGTGAGGATCAAGCACAGGCTGGACCCATCAGGGACCCAGAAACAGCATGGCCAAGCCAGAGGCACAGCTCGAGGTCAGCCTTGCTGCCCAGCCCCAGCCAGCCCCTCGGCTTCCTGAGATCCTCAGCACCGTCCTGCAGGGAGTGGGCCCAGGGCCAGCACTGCCAGGCCATGGCCAGGATGTTTCCTTGGCCCGTGGAGCAGGGGAAGAGCTGCCCTTGCTCCGCACACAGCAGCATTGAGCGCAGACAATGATCCTCTCTTACATTTGACAGCTCTCACAGGCTCTGCATCCAAGCAAAGGCTTCAAATGGGAACTGAGGGCAATTATCCCCCTCCTCCTTGCCCTGTCTGGGACTTGTGGCTACCATCAGCACCACTTGAAAGAGGCTGCAGCTGCAAAAGACTTGGCTGCATCCCCATGCTGGCTCTGGGAGGCTCAGCCCCTAAGGCTCTGCAGCACAGGAGGTCTGAGCTCACCAGAGGGGCAAGGGAAGGTGCCTCTGACCCCCAGAGCCTGAGGCTGGCCACCCTCAGCACAAGGCAGAGGGACATGGCTGCAGCACACAGAGCTGGCGTGGTCCCCTCTGGCTGCCCCTGCAGGAAGGAGTCAGTGCAGAGCACCATGGGCAGCCACAGGGGCCAGCTCTGAGGGAGGGCTGTGAACGACACCAGCACCACCTGAGGAGCACAAGCCCCCAGCACAGCTCCTGGAGGAGCAGCTGGGTGAAGGTACAAGCACTGGAAGGGGTGTGGATGGCTTTGTGACTCCAGCCACAGTGGTGAGGAGACACTGGGGGGACCCCAGCCCCAGGGGAAGCCCAGAGGGGATGGAAAAGGGCATGGGAACATGGCCTGGAGCAGGGACCCCTTGCAGGGACCCTCAGGCTGTGACTGTGTAACCTCAGCTCACCCCACATCCTGTGGGACAGAATACTCGAAAACATTAAGGCTCGCAGCAGCAGATGAGCTGATTCAAGCACAAAGAAGGCTAAATTAAATAATTCACCCCGCTTTATTACTCCCATGGACAAGAGACCCTTCTCAGAAAGAGGGTCACATTTAAGTCTCAGGCAAAACAAGCTGTGAACACCAGAGGTGGCATCACAAAAGTGGCCCAGAGGACAACTGATGTCCTACTCTCACAGCTAGAGGACACAACTAGTCCTGGCCTTGCTCCACCTCCCTCACCCTGGCACTCCGTTGATCCCTGCTCCATCACAGAGCAGCAGACACAAGGGTAGAGCAGGGATCCATGCGTTGCAGTGAGCTTCAAGTCAAGATCAACCTCAAAGAGAGGAGCTGAATGGGACACACAGCACTGGACACATAAAAACCACAAATAAGAAAGGAACTGGTCTGCACGGTGCTCAGGGCAGGGCAGGTCCAGCACCTTCTGCCCAGCTCAGTGCATTGTGCTCCAGCATCATGCCAGGAGAGGCAGGAAACAATCCTGTAGAGAAAGGTCCTGGTCTTGGAGCTACAAAGGGCCAGATTTGTGCTACATGGGAATTCACAAGGATCTCCTATGAAAGTACCATAAATATCAAGTACCAAGCCACAGTGGAAGACATCATTCAGCTCAAGCATCATCACTGAGCTGGGTGTGAAGAAGAGGTATCCTGAAATGCACCAGTCTAACAGGACCCATGCTTAGACCACCCCACCCTCCCAAGAGACCTGGAGGAAGGTGCAGTTCATACTCAGGATGTTGCCCCAGGAATCCAGCATCCACCACCAGGACAGGCAAAGCTGCCATTCCTCCACTTGGAGATACGCAAAGGAAAGAGCCCATCAGCACCCACTCCATCGCTCAGTTCATTACAAAACCCTACCCTGAAGCCTCCTCAGAAGTCAGGCTTGTGTTAGCATCCTCCTGCTGCAGGACTTCCCCTTTCCTTTTAAAGTCATCATGGAAAAAAAAAACCAACAAAGTCTGGCAGTCATAAGAATCCATTTGCCGGGTCAAGGCAGACCAAAGGACTTGGAAGTGTCTGCCTCAATCTGCAAAGAGCCTGGAACTGCAGCTCAGACGTACGGGCTACCTCGTTCGAGTCTATGGCTCATGAGCTACAGGAGCCTGCACACATGTAAACAGCAACTATGGCATCACTACTGCAATTGGAAAGAGGGATTGCACCAGAGGAGCATCAGCTCAGGTGCTGCTCTGGCCCAGGACAGTGTCACTGGCAGGCAGGACTCAGGCAGCAGAGGGGCCAGGTAGGCCCCATCGGATTTTCAATTTGTCTTCCAACAGCAGCACAAGCAGGGGTCAGGCCACCCCCTCCAACAGCCATGCTTGCCTGGAGGTGCCAGCAGGAGTGTTGAAGATACGTGCTCTTTTTAGGACAGCAGCCAAAATTCAGCCCAAGTGAGGCCAAGGGCACAGCAGCTCCCCCCACACAGGCAGTGGCCATTTCCTCCAGCACATCAGGGACCCGGGGCTGGGGCACGATCTCTGAAGTCCCCTTAGAGATGGGAAAGGAGCAGCTTGAGAGCAGCACAGCTGAAAAGCCCAGCGGCAAAGCAGTGCAGGGACGCTCCCAGGTGGGGCCAAGGAAGTTCCAAGGGGTTCCTGGATTCCTCCTACAAAGATGCCACCAGCAGTTCCGGACATCAGGATAAAACACCTGGAGCAACGGATGTGGTGGGTTTGGGGCAAAAGTCTCATGAAACCCCCAGGAAAGCTTGAGGCCGGGGAGGTGGGAGCTGGGTGCTAGATGAAGGTGGAGTCCAGCTGGCTTGTCTCATGGTTATTGCGGGCATGAGCCTCAAAGAGCTGCTTGATCAGGGCAGATTTCTCCTGCTCCAACTGGGTGATGCGCTCGCTCTTGTCAGTCACCTCCTGCGTGGGGCAGAGGAAAATGCTGTTCAGGAGGAGAACACCACCATCTGCTGTGCTGCAGGTGCTGGGATGTGAACCCCAGCAGTGAGCATGGCCCCGACTTCCCCAGCAGCCCTGCTCACAGATGACGGCTGCAACATCTGCACTCTCTGTGACCTCCATTTATTCCATTCCTGCCCATGGACCATCACCCAGCAAACAGCTGGACACAGCTGCATGACAGAGGGTCTCCATGTGCAACCCATGTGCCCTTCTCTGAGATGGGCAAGGTTGGCCAAGCTGAAGGAACACTTTCCACTGCCTTGTATTCCTTCTGTCCATCTCATTCCCCACTCCTCTCCCAGCCCCCCTCCTTAGAATCTCCTTCCCTTTCTCACCCCTCACCTTGGTGAGAAGCCGGTTTTGCTCCTTCAGCATGTTGATGGCTTGCTGGGAGCCTGCTGAGGCTGGGGACACCACAGGGACCAGCCTGCTCAGAGCTGAGGAGGGGTTTGCTGGCTGCAGAAAAGATGAAGGGAAGGGATGAGACATTGAGCCTCCTTCCCAGAGGCCCACCCCAGCCCTTCTCCAAAGCCAGAATCTGTTTCTGTGGCACACAGGGAACTGAGAGAAGCCCAGCACAGGATTAAGATCCCAGCACAGGATCTCAGGCAGGCAGGCAGACATGGAAAGCATTTCTGCCAGGAGCCCAGTGGGACAGCCAGCTCAGCAGGATTGTTTCCTTATTCACTTGACAATGTCTACACCTTTTTTTGGATTTGCTTTAGCCTCCCGTATACCTTGAGCATCCTCAGCCCAGTTGGGGCCTGGCTGTGCTGTCCTCTGGGCCATTCCCATCCCTCCTCTTGCCCACAGAGCCAAGTCACGTCCCCAGAGCCCAGGAGGCAGCCCCGATGTCAGCCCAGCCACCACAGCGGGGGATGACAAGGATCTTGGGAGGACAAGGACAAAAGGGACATGAGCTTGGGACCCATGACACAGGATGGGCCCCAAGCTCACGCAAACAAAGGTGCTGATGTGGTGCTCTCACCTTGCCAGCAGTGGACAGGAGGTCACCCAGGCAGCGGTTTACTTCCTGCAGCTTGGGGACCAGGCGCCCCAAGTGGCTTTGGCTGCCCTCAGTTGGAAAGTCCTGGGAGATGGGGAGGAAGAAGAGGCTGGGGGTTACTATGGAGCTGGCTCCAGGTCCAGCCAAGTCCCAGCCCACTTCTCCAAACCCACAGAGCAGCCCCAAACCCTCCCAAGCAAGTGGGTGCCTCAAGAACAAGTCCCATACTCACCGCACTGGTTTTGTTCTTCCCCAGAAGCCTCTGGCGTTCCTGCATGAACTGGATGTGCTGGTGGTACCACTCCCAGGCACACTCGACCAGCTCCAGACCCTGCAGCAGGAAATCCTTCTCCTGTTCCAGCTCCTTCATGTGCTTCAGCTGCATGACAGAGGATGCAGATGTGTCACTCTGTTCCCACCAAGGCCTTGTCAAGCCCCAGGAGCTAGTTTCATAAGGCACAGGGATGAGGATACAGTCTCAGCTCCTTTCCCCATGAAAGACTATAGAGGAGTGGGCTGATGGCTGCTACCTGATGCTGCTTCAGAAGAAGAGTTCTCTGGTTTGGAAGAACAACTGAGGCAGGTGAAGGACAATCAGGCCATCTCTACCCTCTTGCTCCCCACTGACAAAGCAGGTTTCTCCACCTCATATTTATTCAGTGACACAAGAGCAGGGCCTACAGCCACTTCCCAACACTGTGAACCTCAGCCAGCAGCACAAACACACCCGGCTTTGGGTGAGCAGTAAAGAGCCAAGCTAGATGTGCAGACTGGAAGCCGCACTCTACACCCCAGGCACCTCTGAGCAGAGCACAGCATGCCTTTCTGCTGAGTGTCTCTGCTGGTCTTTCAGGTTCAAGCACAAGCATCACCTGGAGAGGATGTGGGGACTTTCATACACCCAGAGAGCTGCTACTTGGGTGTCTGGAGCTCCTGTCCACAGACAAGCCCCTGGGACATGCAGAGCAGGCGCAGCCTACAGCCAAGGCTGCTGTAGGCCAGGCAGCCCAGCTCCTCGACCAAGAGCAGAGCTGGAGCAGGGGTCTGTGCCACAGGGGATGCAGGGACCCTGCTCCACTGCCACCTTCTTCTGCTGCCCCTCAGCACTGCGCTGCCACTGGCAACTGCAGAGGTGGTGGGACAAGAAGGGACATCCTGAGAAACAGAGCAACTGGTGCAGCAACCCTTTCATCAGCCATCACCCAGTGAGCCCAGGGCTCCTGCTCCCCTTCCCCTGAGCAATGCTGCCCTGTTCCACTGGCCCCTGCCCCCCTGTCTCCATGCCAAGAGTATGGGGAGCTGACTGCCTTGCTGCCTCTGTTGTGTCCTCTGCCACAACACAGCCTGGCTTCCACTGCCCATAGCACAGACTGGGCTCCAGGAGAACCTCCTCCAGGCAGCAGTGGGATTTTGATCACCCAGAAGCTGCTGGATGCTCAGGAACCTCTCCTGCTGCTTTGGACAGCATCTTGAGAGGGGTGATTCAGCTCAGAAGTGGACCTGAACAGATCATAGAAACATAGAATGGTGAAGAGCTGGAAGGGACCTTAAAGCTCCTCCAGTTCCAACCGCCTACCAGGGGCAGGGACACCTTCCACTGGAGCAGCTTGCTCCAAGCCCCTGTGTCCAACCTGCCCTTGAACACTGCCAGGGATGGGGCAGCCACAGCTTCTCTGGGCACCCTGTGCCAGCGCCTCAGCACCCTCACAGGGAAGAGCTTCTGCCTAAGAGCTCATCTCAGTCTCCCCTCGGGCAGGTTAAAGCCATTCCCCTTGGCCTGTCCCTACAGGCCCTTGTAAAAGATCCCTACCCTGGAGACATGTGAGACCACACCAAGACCTTCCTCAGGCCACCAGCACTTCCCATCCCCACTGCCAGCCCTGAAGCGCCTTAAGTGCCCCACACCGGCCTCCTCCCCACCTGGATGGACAGACTGACCAAAGGGGACATACCCAGAGGAAGAAGCGCAGAGCCTTGATGCTACGCAGGCTGTTGCTGAGGGGCATGAAGAAGGTGCTGTATGTGACAAGGACTCTCACCCAGCTTGAGCTGCAGGCAGCCACTACCTGGCCTGCTCCAGTCCCACCAGGCTTGCTGGCCAGTTTGGAGACTGGAGGAAGAGGCAGCATCCCACAGAGCAGTGAAACACCACCAGGGACAGAGGGCATCTCTCTAAGGATGGGAAGCTCTGGGGCAGTGGCAGCTTCTGGGGCAGGAAGAAGACAGAGCCCTGCACTTGGCTGCTGCTGCCCAGGGTAGGAGGGGAAGGGACAGTGCTGTACGCTGGGCTGCAGACAAATGGAAGCGCTCAGCCTCATACAGAACATCTCATCCAGCCACCCCTGTGGCCATGGAGAAATGAGGCCGATCAATGATGGACTGGCTGAGAACAGCAGCTAAGCAGACACCAGCAGTGGTGGTGCAAAGGGTCCTGGGCTGCAGTACAGCCCCACACCTCTGCTGCTGCTGCTGCTGCTGCTTGGGATGAACCAACCCTGGTGCACCTAAGAGTGCTGGATGGATACCAGTATTCCCAACCCCCATTAGGCACTAGACAAATCAGCCTAATCACAGCTGAGAGCTTTGTGTCTTCTGGGGCCTAACATACTCCAGCATGGGGAAGAAGGGAAGAAAGGCAGAGGGACTCCTTCCTACTGCTTACCCAACAGCCTGGGAAAACAGGCAAGCCAGAGCTCAAGGCAGTGGTGGGCTCCAGCCTGGAGCTGTACTCTCAGGGAAAAGCCTTGCCAGGGAAAGGAGGAACCTTCCACTATCCAAAACAGTAACTTCCAGCCACCAAAACCCAGAGAATCAGTCCCATCCCAGACACACACACACCCCTACATAACTCCTTGCCAGGACCTCTCATTAGAGACCTCCTCAGCCCAAGAGCACCCCAACCCTTTGCATGGCTGCAGGCCCAACAAACCATGAGTGTGCACAAGCCCCTTCTCCTCAGGCCAGGCTCTACAGCACGTTATGTCCCCCAGGGCCAGGCCAGGCTGTAATCAATGCTGCCCAAGCCACTGGTCAGCCCCACTGGGCTCAGGGTGATACCAGGGTGCAAGGACTGGAAGCGCAGAGGTGACAGCAGCACCTCTGACACCAGCCAGAGCTCATCCCGCCAGTCACGCACTCATCCTGCAGGCTGGGTCCTGGCTCTCATCCCAGGAAAAACCAGCTTGAGCTTGTGGACAACATGCCCAGGCAGCTCCTCCATCCCATTTCAGAGCAGCGCAGATCCCTTCATCCAGGGATTCTGACCCAAGCCTCTCCACACATGCATGGAGAGGAAGGCAGAGCCCTCCATGCTGGGCTGCCCAGCTAAATTCAGTGCTGATTTTTCTGCATTACTGGCAAACAACCTCTCAGGAGCCACGAGAATCTGCATGCTTGAGCTCCAACCTTCAGAGCACAAGCGGTGGGAGACCCAGCCCAGCACCACCACTTGCCAGCACAGAGCATACCTGACCTCCACTGAGTACTTGAGGGGCCCAGAGATGCACCTGCTCCTACACCTACATGTTTGCTTTTCCCTTCCCGGGATTTTGCCCACTGGTAGGCACCTGTGCAGTCAAATGCTGGCTCCACAGACTGACCTCACTCCAGGAGAAGGCAGGGGAACACATGCCTCTGGCCCTGTCTGGCACGATTCAGGATGGAAAGCACCTCAGAAGCAACAGCAGGACCTCCACATACATCAACAGAGCTTTGTATGCCCAATATCAGGATCTGCCCAACACCCCACAGTTCACACATGCAGGACTGGGCAGTGGGGAGCCACAGCCCAGAGCTGGTGTCAGTGGTGAGGGACCCTGTGACCCACCTTTCCCCAGGGACCAGGACTTCCCCAAAGTCTGTGAGGGTGCTGAGGCGCTGGCACAGGGTGCCCAGAGAAGCTGTGGCTGCCCCATCCCTGGCAGTGTTCAAGGCCAGGTTGGACACAGGGGCTTGGAGCAAGCTGCTCTAGTGGAAGGTGTCCCTGCCCGTGGCAGGGGTTGGAACTGGATGAGCTTTAAGCTCCCTTCAACCCAAACCGGTCTGGGATTCTATGGTATGACCAAGGTCCCCTTCACTGGAGCCTGTGGCAGGACTGTCCCCTTACCATGCTGAAGTCCACGCCATTGGTGATGGTGTGTCTCCGATGTTCTGCACGTCCTCTCTGATGCCTCCGAGCATCCCCAGCCCCTGGATGGCCACTGTCTCCCTGGGACTGCCCAGCAGCTTTAGCATCACCACCTGTAACAAAGGAAAGCATAAGGCCACCAGCTGCTATCTGCAGCATGGCCTTGCAGACATGGCAGGGAGCAGCTGAGCAAAGCACCAGACCAGGTGCCTGCTTGCAGGCAGAGCAGGCTTCAGCAGCAACTTATTTGGCTGTGCCAGGTTGGCAACACACCTTGGTCATCTGCAAAAAGCAGACAGCTTCCAGGCAATGCTGTTTCAGTCCTAGCACAGGCAATTAAACCATTACCAACACGGGCTACCCTTGTCCTGTCCTCATGAGACCCCTGGCTCCCACTCAGTGGCACAGGCTCTGCCCAGAATCTGACTCCTGAAGGCATCTCCTGCTTGGTGATGGGCTTGGCCATGCAGACATTCTCTCCCCAAAGCCTGTGCCTGTGGCCTAACCATGAGTAAATCAGGCTGTAGGTTTTCCAAAATGTTATTCAAATCCCAGCATCCCACCCTGCAAAAGACTGATCTCTTACAAACACGACACTGGTGCAAATCCAGGCATGACCTTTCTGCAGGTTTTCATACCGGCACGTTTCAGGCCAGATCAGCCACCTCCTGCCCATGTTGCCTGTTTGCCCAAGCAGGTATTGGCTGGGCACCTGCAGCAGAGTCAGTACAAGCCCCACATCACCCACCCTGGGGAACTCACCGGGAACAAAGCCCTGCAGCATGGCCAAGGCCAGCTCAGAGCCTGGTTCTGGCCAAGCACCGCCCCAAACCGCGGCACCAGAGCAGCCAGCACCATCTCGACATGCCTGGGCAGCGAGTGCTCCACCTCCCTTTGTGCCAGCTCCAGGCAGACCCTGTCTTGTATCCAGCCCTTGCTGCTGCAGACACCTCTCCTTCAGAGTCTCTTTCCCAGGCTGGCCATGGCACAAGAGCAGCAGAGAGGCAGGCGAGCAGCACGGAGGCAGGCAAGCAACGGCAGGCAGAGACAGCCAGGGAACACGCCTCCTCCTCAGGACTGCTGCCCACCTATCTCCCAGACACCCTTACCCATCGCCACATCTTCTCCCCCATGCAGGCTCCCAGGCACCAGCGCTGCCCAGCACAGGTCCAGTGTGTTCTCTGCTGCATGGGCACAAAAGGCAGCAGGTACCAGGACAGGGCAAGTAGCATTCTCCAGGCTGGCACCCACAGCCCACAGCTCCACAAGGCTCCTCAGCCAAGCACATGGACACAATGAAAGAGGGATACAGAGCAGGAAAGGACAGCACTGGGCACAGAACCACTCTCTTTCACCTTGAAGGCAATGAGGTCTAGGAGAGCTGCACCATACTGGGGCTGTCTGTACTGGCAGTTTCAGCAAGAGGAGTTGGACCCTGGCTTAAGGGGCAACAGGCCACGCTACACAAGTGCCCTGCTCAGCCTGTCATGTTGTGTCTCTGAGGAAAGAAGCTACTGTGGCATGGGAAAAATCCTCTTCTGGTTTACCATGTGTCTCTGCTTCCTCCTGGCTTCCCCTCCTCCCTGGCAGAGCATGAGGCTCACAAAGTCCTTGGCCAAACCAAAATATCCTTGTTATCAGCTCTGTTCCTGAGCTGAAAGTCAAAACACTGCACTGCACCAGCTACCAAGAAGGGGAAAAATGACTGCTACTGCTGAACCCAGGACATTATCCACCCCTTATTCCATACCATTCACGTCATGCTCAGATCCCACATTTTCAGTATACCATCACTCTTATCTCAGTGCATGGACCAGTCCCTATAAAGCTGCTGAGTCCATCTGGTCCATGATGTCAGGCTCCATCTCTTGTAACAGCCTTCCAGAGCAGGAGAGACTGTGTGCAGTGTTTTGACTTTCAGCTCAGGAACAGAGCTGATAACAAGGATATTTTGGTTTGGCCAAGGACTTTGTGAGCCTCATGCTCTGCCAGGGAGGAGGGGAAGCCAGGAGGAAGCAGAGACAGGACACCTGACCCAAACTGACCAAAGAGGTATTCCATAGCACAGCACGTCATGCCCAGGATGCAACTGGGAGTTAGCCGGAAGGGCCGGGGACTGCAGGGTTGGAGGAGGTATCGGTCTTGGTCGGGCTGGGGGGGCGAGTTATCGGTCGGCTGGTGGTGAGATGATGTATTCTCTTCCCTTGTTATTTCCTTTATCATTATTATCATTGGTGGTAGCAGTAGTGATTTGTGTTATACCTTAGTTACTAAACTGTTCTTATCTCAACCCGTGGGAGTTGCATTCTTTTCGATTCTCCTCTCCGTCCCTCCGAGAGCAGGGGGAGGGCAAGAAAGGGGGGGAAGTGAGCGAACGAATTACCTGACTGGGTTTAAACCACGACACCATGGCATCCTGCTTCTCCTACCAGCAAGAGCATCATCATAGACAGGTCTCCAGCATGTCAATAAACACAGTCTTTGCTGTCACCCATTCATGTTGTTTTTGTTTCATACCCCCATATCTACCTGGCAAGACCACTGCAAATACACGCATGCTCTCCTAGCAGACCTGTAGCACCGCCTGTTTGGGAAGCTGAGGAACAGCCCCGAAACTAGAGCTAGCTTCAACAGGCAGAATCCCAAAGCAAAGCTAGGAACACCTTTGGGAAACATGTTAAAAAGGTTTTCATGGCTGTTAATTGGAAGCGCCAGGTTGAGCTGAGCTGAACCTGCAATAAGAAGGTGCTCCCTGGTCAAACAACTGAGCTCTGTGTACCTGAGCTGACAATGTAGTGGCTAAACCAGGACCCCTGCTAATGAGCTGAGATAATTTCATCTTTGGCAAAGAGCAGTTCCAGCTCACCAGAGGTGGATGAGATACGGCCTCAGGGCACAGGCCCAGCATTCTCCAGCCAAAGCAGGTGCCCAGGACCGAGCAGACACCTCATGGTCATTTACACATTTACATACCTATCCTTGGCAATGGACAGTAACTGCTCCCTACAAACCACCCCCTCCTGCCTGCAGGGGCCACCGACACTCCAGGCAGCTGACAGAGCCAGGCCACCCCAGCAGTGGGGGCCAGTGCTGTGCAGGGAGGAGGCAGCAGTGCCCAGGCCACCACAGACATCCTGGGCGAGGCACATCCTAATCTGAACTTCCTCAGGTCTCAGCTCACAATGGAACCGCAACAGTAAAGACCCCAACACCAAGACACTTAGATGCTGCTGTGACAGGCCACCAGTAGTAGGGAAGCCATCACAGAGACTTTCCTGGCCAGCAACTTATCCAGTATCAGCCTCACCGTCCCGGCAGATGTTGTTGGCTCCCCAGAGAGCCGACAATGGTGGCCAGCAGTGGTTCATGGGCTGCCCCAGCACTGCTGGGCTGATCACAGCCCCAGCCTCTGCCATCTTGCTGTGATGTGAGTCCATCCAAATCACCTCTGATGCAGGCAGATGTCCCTGGACCAGAAAGCAGAGCTGGGGTGGCATCCTGTGAGTACCCCCTTCCCCCAAAATGCAGGTAGGGAGACTTTCTTCAGACTGTGTAGTTGATGAGCACTGATCCACCATCTCGCTGCCCTTGGTTTGGTTCTTACAGAAACTACCTCAGGCAGCTGAAGGCTGAGAGCAGCCTCAACCCTAAATGATAAGTTTAATGGAGACAGGTCTTTCGGGATCCACAGGCAGCTCTCGGCACATTTCTCCACAGCAAGAGCTGTGTCCTGCCACAGCAGCACTCAGCCTCGCAGCCTGGTGAGAATATCTACCCATTCATCCACACCTTAGGAAACCCTCGACAGTAGGAGGGAGCACTGGGCAGCTGTGCAGGATCCGGAGCTAAAAGAAACAGAATAACTGAGTTATGATGTTTGCTAAGCTGCTGAATCCAAGTGAGATTCCAGCCCTTTGCCAGAATAGGGCCCTGTGCTGCAGGAAGCTGGCAGCAAAGGCTGTGGCACAAACCCTACCTGCAGGCTCCAGACATCAGTATAACATCAGCTTACGGTGGGAAGATCCTCAGCAACCATGAAGCTGCTGTAATCACCTGCTCATTCCTTTCTAGGGCAGAGCTTTCCATTTGCTGTTTATTTACCAAGCAGGATTTTTGTTCAGGTTTTTCCAGATTTACTCTGTTGACAACAGAAGAACCAGCCTGCTTAATAATATTGCCCTAGATGAAGCTCCAGTAATTAGTCTGGAGGCAAAATGGAAAGCAGAGAACCTCAGCCACAGTTAAAGGCTTCTTCTCCACCCAACAGAAGAAAGGACTGGGAGGGAGCAGGGGAGAAGCAAAGGCAAATCAGCCTAACTTTCCCAAGGTTGAGGCAGTCATTGCGCTCCAGTGTTGAAATAACAAACACCAGCTCCTCACACAGACCTTCATGTCTGTAGATCTCAAAGCACTTCACAGATCATGGGCATGTAGGGACAGGCCAAGGGGAATGGCTTTAACCTGACAGAGGGGAGACTGAGATGAGCTCTTAGGCAGAAGCTCTTCCCTGTGAGGGTGCTGAGGCGCTGGCACAGGGTGCCCAGAGAAGCTGTGGCTGCCCCATCCCTGGCAGTGTTCAAGGGCAGGTTGGACACAGGGGCTTGGAGCAAGCTGCTCTAGTGGAAGGTGTCCCTGCCCGTGGCAGGGGTTGGAACTTCATGAGCTTTAAGGTTCCTTCCAACACAAACCAGTCTGGGATTCCAGGAGTCTAAAGAATTATTACCTGCATCAGATAAACCCAGAAGCCTGGTTTCCTGATTACATCACCTACTGACTAGCAACAAACTGAGATGCCAGTCAAATCACCTGCCCCTTGCCAGGGTCAGGGTCCCACTGGGGGTGGCAGACCCAGCACAGGGACCCCAAGAGCTCACAGGGACCTCAGGTGGCCTCTGCAGAGCCTGGCCATCAGGACACCACTGGGGGACAGCAAAGCACAATAAGGGGAGACCTTATTGTGGCCTTTCCGTACTTCAAAGGGGCCTATAAGAAAGATGGGGAGAGACCTTTTAGCAGGGCCTGTTGCGACAGGATGAGAGGTGATGGATTTAAACTAAAATTGGGAGATTCAGGCTGGATGTGAAGAAGAAATTCTTTACAATGAACGACTGAATGGTGCAACACTGGCACAGGTTGCCCAGAGGTGGTAGATGCCCCATTCCTGGGGACATTCCAGGCCAGGCTGGATGTGGTTCTGAGAAACCTGATGTAGTTGAAGATGTCCCTGCTTACTGCAGGGGCGCTGGACTAGACAACCTTTGAAAGTCCCTTTCAACCCAAACCATTCCGTGATTCTATGATCTCTCTGATGCTACTTTCCCATTTATTTATTCTCATAATCAGCGCTGCGGCATTATCCAAACAAAAAAGGTGGATCAGGCTTTCCTATTTTTTTGGTCCAAAACACAGATGAAATGGTGAACCCAGTGTCTGAGGGCACAGCACAGCACCCACTCGAGCTCACGGCTGCTCCGGTACTGGGGCTCCTGCTGACGCAGGCGACACTCCGAGATGACCATCGGCAGCACCAAAAGGTCACCGGCAGCCTCTACGCCGGGGACAACTGCGAACACGTTATGGTAAAGCCCTTAATTTTTCCTGTCACTGCTATGAACAGACAGGCCCGCGTGAGGAGGGGTGCGAAGGGAAGGAAGCACGAACCCGAGGCAGGCGGAACGGCACTGGAGCCCAGGTCAGAATCATCGGTAACTTCTCGAGTTCGGCACCCGGCTCGCGGGTCCGAGGCGATGCTCAGGCCTCGCAGGAGCCTCAGTGTCACAGCCGCCCCCGCCCGGTCCCCGCTCACCTCGGCCGCGGTGCTGGCCGTGCCCCGGCTCCCGCTGCCCGTTGCTCTTCCTGCGCCGCTCCTCGGCACAGCGCGGGCTCGGCGGCTTCTCCTCGCTCCGCCGCCCGCCGCTCTCCGCCGGGGGGTCAGCCCCGGGCAGGGAAGCGCGCAGCCCCAGGACGAACCTCTCGAAGGTGAGGTACCCGCTGGCCGGTGCCGCCCGCCGCAGCCCCTCCATCACCCCGGCGGGCAGCTCCCGGGCTTCCGCTCCCCGCCAGCGGGACTCGATCTCCCGTAGGTGCACGTAGCCGCGCCGCCGGTCATCCAGGATATCGAAGAGGGTGCGCAGGCTCTGCAGGAACGCCCGGGGAAGACCCTCGGTGCCGGCGGGGAGCGGCCGGTCTCCGCGCTCCAGGGCCATCGCCACCGCCGCTGCGGCTCTCGAGCGTTACTCGCCTCTCCGGCCCCGCGCTCCTATTGGTTGGTGGCGTTGGGTCCCGCGCTCTCATTGGCTGGTGGCGGCCGGTCGTGCTGGCCATTGGCTGAGGGAGAGGACGAAGGTTTTGAGTTCCGCGCGGTCCCCTCCCCACGCTCCATCGGGGAGAGGATCTGAGATGGGGAGGCCCCGCCCACCCATCCCGGTGCCGGCTCCGGGACCCGCCGGGCGGAGCCTCTGCCGGGCCCTCAGCACAGATCAAACCCCCATTCCCCGCCCGGCAGAGCTGCACCGCTGCTCCCATTGACCGGCAGAACTGCGGGTACCACTGCCCGCGCCCGACTGCAGCGAGTGCCTCTGCTGCCGGTGGCAACAAATAGAATCACAGAATCAACGAGGTTGGAAAAACCTTTGAGATCATGCAGTCCAACCATTCCCCAGCACTGCCAAGGCCACCACTAACCCATGGCACTGTGGGCGTCGTCTCCACGGTGTGTGAATGAACACTTGCAGGGACGGTGGCTCCAGCCCTGCCCTGGGCAGCCTGTTCCAATGCCTGAGCACCCTCTGGGGAAGGAATTGTTCCTCAGCTCCAGTCTAAACCTCCCCTGGCCAGTTTGAGGCCGTTTCCTCTTATTATTTGTTCCTTGGGAGTAGAGACCCCACCCCTCCTGGCTCCATCCTCCTTTCACATAGTTGTAGAGAGTGATAAGGTCCCTCCTGAGCTTTCTGAGGGTTTGCACTTCAAAGACACTGTAACCTTGCAGAAAGGAAAGCAGCTCTCTTAAGCAGAGATACTTGAACACCTTACATAGAATCACAGAATCTCAGGCTGGTTTGGGTTGAAGGCACCTTAAAGCTCATGAAGTTCTAACTCTGCCACGGGCAGGGGCACCTTCCACTGGAGCAGCTTGCTCCAAGCCCCTGTGCCCAACCTGGCCTTGAACACTGCCAGGGATGGGGCAGCCACAGCTTCTCTGAGCACCCTGTGCCAGCGCCTCAGCACCCTCACAGGGAAGAGCTTCTGCCGATGATCTCAGCTCAGTCTCCCCTCGCCTGCTTGTCTTGACCATTTCTTTCCACAAATTTCAAGGACCTGTCCTACCTGTTTTGAGATCTCTGCTTGGCATAGTCGTGTCTGACTGAACAGGTTCACACCTGCTCAGGATACAGGGAGAAGGAACCGGTGCATCAGCCCTCCCCTTTCTGCTCCGGAAACAAGGCAGTGAATGTGATGCTGCTCAGCTCTGATAGCATCAGCACATGGGCTGTTCTGCTCAGCAAAAGATAAATCTTCAGGAAGATGAGGTTTCTCACACATTTGGACTTGATGGAAGAGCCAGGAATTCAATATGACTTTAATGTCTCTTGTTCAATTTCCCTGCCTGGCAGGTCCCACCAGGACCCAGCAGGAAAGCAAACAGACACCAAAAATAATTCCTGCATTGTCAAAGTATTTCAGCCCAAATACTCTCACTCCTCCATGGGGTGCTTCCTGCTCCAGCAGCAGGGAGCAACTGCCCAGTGCAGCCCTGGTCTTACTCTGCTTTCCATAGCAAAGTGTCCTGGAAAGGCTGCTATGGGAGAGGCTCTCATCCTTGGTGTGAGCAGGTGAACAAGGTTTAGGAGATGTTGAAAATTCTTGGAAAAGTCTTCCCCCCCCCCCCCGAAAAGTGTATTTCAGGGCCGGCCCAGACTCTTCTGCTCAACAGCCATCTTTGTGTTGGGTTTGTTTTTACTCTAAACAACATAGTCATTCAGTTCTTCCTCCAAACTACTGGGAAGCACCAACTGCCATTCAAACCTCTCTCCCTGCTGGCCTGCAGGCACACTCACAGCTCCAGTGTGGTGGCACTCAGTGTATCACTTTCCCTCTCTGGGAGGCCATGGAATTTCTGATGTTCCCAGGAAGGTGCTGGCAGGCCAGTGTGTCCACCAACCAGCCTTCCCACCCCTGGGACGGGAGGTAACAGGAGCCACACCAAAACCCTGCAGAGCACTGGAGGAACAGGTGGTAGAGACTGGGGCACCTTCCTACATGACACTGGCCAGCTACAGGTGATGCTGGGTGACTGTGGCAGTAGATGAAGCCCCATGCTGACTACAGGAGCATGTAGGGGTTCATGTGTGAAGCTTGACTCTGCACAAGACACACAGTGACTGCAGCCATGGGGCTGACTATGTTCAAGCAGATGTTTACAGAGGCCTGTAAGGACAGGTCAAGGGGAATGGCTTTAACCTGCCCGAGGGGAGACTGAGATGAGCTCTTAGGCAGAAGCTCTTCCCTGTGAGGGTGCTGAGGCGCTGGCACAGGGTGCCCAGAGAAGCTGTGGCTGCCCCATCCCTGGCAGTGTTCAAGGCCAGGTTGGACACAGGGGCTTGGAGCAAGCTGCTCTAGTGGAAGGTGTCCCTGCCCGTGGCAGGGGGCTGGAACTGAATGAGATTTAAGGTCCCTTCCCACTCAAACTAATTTCGGGTTCTGTGTTGTTAGCTTCTGCTGCTGCTTTCTTCTGGTGGAGAGCAAGGTCTGATGGGGAACCAGCTGCATGTCTGTGTGCTCTCTGCACGCTTGCTGCTGCCTGACAGGTGGACCAGCCAGCACAGCACAGCCCTCCTCTGTGTATTGTACTGACAGTCTCAACAGTGCTGCATCCAAAATGAGTTGGTCCTCGGGCAGTGCAGGTTACCAGTCCATACCCAGGAACAGTTGGTCAGGGCTTGGTTAAGACCAGACCAGGAGCTGTGCACACAGCAGCCCAGATGCCAAGTTCTGGTGCTCCCACAGCTGTCCAATTCATTCAGCACAATTGCTGTTAAACTCTTCTTTCAGCCCCAGAGCCAAGGAGTGCCAGGAATCAGTTCCAGTAGGGTACCAAAGCGTTAACCCAGAAACACATCTGTACCCAGGAAACCTTTGGGCAGAGGCTGAAGGTTGCAAGGGCCACGTGGTTGGGGAGACACAGCAGACCTTCCCTTGGAGGGCGGCTATCTTGTTTGATCTTCCCAGCTCTGCACTGACATCTCATTTTCCATCTTGCTGCTTGCAGGGCCTCCTGAGGACCTGCTCTGTTTGCTCTGGAGGGGGCCAGCTGCTTCTCATAAAGTTGCTTTTCTTTCCTCCCGACTGTTTTTCCCTGCAAAGGGCCTTGAGCAGGAAGTGTGGTGGCTGCCTGGTGGCTTACAGGCTGTCACGAGGGCTGGGAGAAGCTGAGATCAGCTGTCCAGAGGGTGGGGGTTCTGTTTGCTCAAGCTGCAACATGCCTGATCCCGAAGCAAGGCCTTGTGTTGGTAGGAAATGTCAGTCACTCGTGTGGTGTCACCTTCCTGCCCTTCTGCTGATGGAGTCTCACACTGTGTAAGTAGAGGGAGTCATCCGGGGTTTAAATCAAAGTGTGACAGATGCTGCAAGTCCTCCCGTTAGAATCTATCAGCAATTGCTCTGTCCTACTGTAAGTCTCACTCTGCTGCTGCTGAAGTCATCTTGCAGGAGCAGCTCAAGGCAGTGTTCAGGAGCAGTCCTGCCATGGAAGACTGATGTAGGGCCTTAAACACAGGCAGCTCTGCCTGTCTCCTGGTGGAATTTCTTACACCTGACAGAGCACGGTTTGCTGTCTCTCTGCTTTCAGGGTGCTGGAGCTTTTTTAAGGATGAATTTCTTTCCTGTTCCACCTGCATGTTTGAGTCTTGTACCTCCTTCATGTTCCCTCAGGTTGTCCTGCCTCATATATTTGATCCCACCTGCTGCTATTTGCAGTGCTTTACAGAAGAAAATTTCTACCCACATGGGTGCAGTGGGTTCTGGAATCAGCCCAGTAGACTGTGCAGCAGGACAAACCTGTAGTGGGGGGGTGACTGTTACAGTAGTGATAGGCCAAGGGGAATGGCTTTAACCTGCCACAGGGGAGACTGAGATGAGCTCTTAGGCAGAAGCTCTTCCCTGTGAGGGTGCTGAGGCGCTGGCACAGGGTGCCCAGAGAAGCTGTGGCTGCCCCATCCCTGGCAGTGTTCAAGGGCAGGTTGGACACAGGGGCTTGGAGCAAGCTGCTCTATGGAAGGTGTCCCTGCCCGTGGCAGGGGTTGGAGCTGGAGGAGCTTTAAGGTCCCTTCCAACCCAAAGAGTCTAGAATTTTATGACTTCAACTTTCTGCACCCAGAGCAGAGCTGCTTCAGCGCTCGCATCATCTTTTTGGCCTCATCTGGCCTCGCTCCAGCAGCTCCACGTTCCCAGAGCTGGCAGCAAGGCTTCGAGGAAGCCCTCCCGCGGCTGCAGCAGAGAGCAGAGCACGCCGGGGTCCTCAAAGGGGCCCGGGGAGGTGGGAGCTGCTCGGCGGGGCGGGGCCGTGGCGGGGCGGTTCCGCCGCTCTCCCTGTGCTCGCTCGTACTCGCTCGATCCGGCGGGTAGGGAGCGGTTGCATGGGGCCGCCCGAGGAGGTGCGGGACCGGCTGGCGCGGTGCGGGCAGAGCCACCTGCTGCGGTTCTGGGCCGAGCTGTCCCCGGCGCAGCGCGGGGCACTGCTGGCCGCTTTGCCGCCGGGGCTGGGAGAGCACTGCCGGATGGCGGCGGCGGCCGGTGCCCGCCAGCGGGGGCCACCGGAGTGCCTGGACGGCCGGATGGAGCCGCTCCCTGCCCGGCTGCTGGGCAGCGCCCGTCGCAGCGGCCCCGCCGTGCTGGAGCGCTGGGAAGCGGAAGGTGAGCGGGGAGCGGGGCCGTGGTCCCGGAGAGGGGCCTAAGCTTGGCCCTGGCCCCGGGGCCTTGGAGCGTCTCCCCGGTCCAAACCCGTCAGCCGGAGCCGGGGCGGAGGGCACGGGGCATCTGTGCCAGCGCCGCTCCGAAGGGTGCCCCAGGGCGGCACGTCCGCCATGCGGTGCCAGAATACCGAGTTCTGCCCTAAAGTCCTAGGAGAGCGCGGCCTGGCCCCGCGGGAACGGTGCGGGGCCGGGGGCTCCGTGCGGGTGCGTCCGGCAGAGCCTGGCGCGGGCGCAGACGGGGCCTCTGCGCCACGCGGTGCTGGGACCGGGGTCAGGCGGGGAGGGCGAGTGGGACAGAG